TCCTGAGATGGGGAGTCCAGTGTGCGGCCGGGCCCCCTCACTCCTCAGGTAGGGGAGAGGGCTCTGCAGCCAAGATAGCACCCTCTCCTTCTTGATCACCACACAGTCATGGGATTGGGCTGTTCCGCGTCTCCGCCCCTCCCACAATTATGCGGTGACCTTTTATTTGAGGTGACCTAGCTGGAGGGCTTCTGTTCAGCCAGACCTCTGGCAATTCTGTGTATTGGTTGCTCTGTAGTTTTGTTATAATTTTGGTGTGGTGGCTAGAGGAAGCGTGTACAGCCTTTACCTTCTATGCCACCTTGAATACCAAAGGGGGGAGGTGAACAGTAGTATTTTGAAAGAAAAAAATTTTTTTTCTGAGCAGTAGCTCTCCACGTTTGGTTTAAAATATTCAGTAAACCATGTTGAGATGTTCTGTCATCCAAGCTTATTCAATTTATAGAGCACAGGCAGAGTAGACAGCACAATTCTTAAGGGCCCTAGAATTTTTCAGAGTGAGAAATGAGTACTGACTTCATATTAAAACATCAGCAACATTAGCCCTAATAAGAGAGAACACCTGTTCTTTGAAGCTTTAAAGCCAGGCTTTGACCTCTCTGCTGTGAAAATCCTCTATGGCATCTTTATCCAATATATGACTGTTTTGTCTACACTGAAAACCTGTTGTTTAGTGTAGTCACCTTCACTAAGTATCTTAGCTAGATCCGGATAACTTGCTGCAGCTTCTACAGCAGCACTTACTGCTCCACCTTGCACTTTTATGTTATAAAGATGGCTCGTTTCCTTAAACATCATAAACCAACCTCTGCTACCTTTAAACCTTCCTTCCGTGTATTCCTCTCTCTCTCTCAGCCTTCACAGAATTGAACGGCCTTGCTCTAAAGCTTAAGAGAATGTTGTGCCTAGTTTGATCTTCTATCTAGACCTGTAAAACTTTCTTCATGTCAGCAATAAGCCTGCTTCACTTTATTATTGGTGTGTTCACTGGATTAGCACTTTTAATTTCCTTCAATGACTTTTCCTTTGTATTTGCAACTTGGCTACTGTTTTGCACAAGAGATCTATAAAGATCCTTTCCTCAGCTATGAAAGTTTGTGTAATGAGTACATTATCCATGGTGCATTTTATTTTCACATTAAGTGCATTTGTCAGTCACTAAGTTAGCCATGGCAGAGGAGAGTCCCTTGAATTTTGCCTAGACCTTCAGGTTAGAGGATTCTAAATGATACCATATTATGTGAGACAACATGGCAACGTTAACAGGTCTGAGGTGTCAGTATGTGTCTCAGAAATGTGAGTGAATTTAACACCCTAAGCAGTGAGATGATCCTCTAAGATTGAGGGTTACTATATGCAGAGAGAACACACACACACACACACACACGGAAGCAACCTTGATTTGTACCTGGGTATTGTGAGGCAAGACATTTCCAGTTCTTTATGCCAGAGTGGAAGGAGTTGTTGCTGTCGATGAAATGAGAAGCTATATCATTGTCAAAGGAACTATAACACTGTGCAAAGGGTCTTGATTCTTGACCAGGGGATTCTCTAGGGCTAACATGATAACCTGGTATTTGACTAATCAATCTGAAGCTTGAGTCCGATCTTTGTGCAGGGATGGCCTGTTTGACCTAGGAACAGAACACAGCATCTGTGCAGTAAACTCCATCAGATTAGTTGCAACTCGCTGTCCATAAAAATAAAAACTCCCTAGTCTCTCATGTGCTTCCAAGTGACTCCCAAAGTGGCCAATGTATCTAGAAAAGTGACCTTTTCAGCAGAGAAATGGGAACACTCTTACACCTCTAGGAGGGGTGTGCCAGAGGTAGCATTTGTGCCTCTATTCTGCAAGTATCAGTATCTCTTCAATGAGGAGGTATCTGTATAAAAATCTGAGGAGATTTTGCATCCGTGACCCAAGATGAATTTGGGAAGCTTGCACTAGAGGATCACCACCTAGGCCTTAGGAGGGCCCTCCATTTACAGACAGACTCTGTCAGTTGCTAGCAGTGGAGGCTCTAATTGTGTGCAGACCCAGCTGAATAGTTTTGGGTACAAGAATGCCTTGGGCAATTTAGGTCCAATTTATGAAGGGGTGGAGTTTAGAGACTTTTGATGCGTAAAAGTCTTCTAAAGGCTTTATACATAAAGGGGTATGGGGAAGGAGATAATGGAGTGAATGCTATTTCAACAAATTCTAGAGCCATTTGTTTCCTCATTCAAAGTCAGTCAGTTTTTAAGTGTTGTGTAACCACTTAAACCAAATCAATCTAATAAATATTCTACAGCTGGGATTGGTGTGGCCAAAGGAAATGTGCCCAAGACATCAGTTCTGCCACTGCTTCTGTTGCCTTCTCAACTCACAGCCCTATAATGTTGCCTCAGAAAAATCTTCTAAAGTGGGATATGCATAGATTTCTAAAGATGATTACAAGCAAGCAGGTACAAGTAGTCTTGACGTGGTAAACAAGGAGTTGGAAATGGTCTAAAGATGGCAATGGAAGGAAATGATGCTGACGCCCGTGACTGAGGATGTCCCCAGGCAGATCCCACTTGGGCTACACCTTTGTTTCAGAGCCACAGCACATCCACAGATCTGTCCAAGCCTGATTTAAACTCCAGGACAGATTCTGGGAACCCTCCCATTTAGAATGATCCCTGTGTAAAGTGTCGAACACATAAAAAACAAGGTTCAGGAGAGCTTGTGTTTTCACAAATGTATAGTAACACTGCCGTCAAAAGATGAAAAACATGCCATCTCACCAAGAGAACACTCTTGTAGTGCCTATTTGGAAGAAAACCCTCCAGTATGTAAGACACCACAAATATCTGTGACCTAAATCAATAGGAAGTCCCAAGTCCCAGATAACAATGCCCAAACTCATAACCACATATTTTATATACACAATGTTTATAACAATTGCAAAAATGAAGATGGACCATATGTACATTTTTATCAACAGGAATCTTTCCTGTTGATCACAGAAATGCAGGAAATTCTATAGTGCTATGCTCTATGTACTTTTGCACCCAAGCAGTTCCTCATAGTCTTTAAAGTACATTACATGGTGGAATTCAAGTGATTGATAATGACATAATCACTCACTGAGACTCATACCCTCATAGAAAAGATATATACACAACCCAGTCAATTATCTCATATTTAATGGTTTACTTTGCTTCAAATCCCTTCTTTCCATTTTATAAACCAAACTTTTATTATTTGTTCAATAACTCTCTTTTAAATATAAGTGCCAGGACTGCAAGAACTTGTTTCAATATTTCTATATTCAACCAAGTGCCTTGATTATTTGTGCTAAACTGGGTATATTCTTAAGTGCATGGCAATGAGTGGCAATGAAACATTAACATCAAGAGTATATAGTCTCAAGTGCCCATCAACAGACAATTGGATAAAGAAGATGTGGTACATATATACAATGTAATCTTACCCATAAAAAAGAATGAAATCTTACCATTTGGGATAAGATGGATGGACCGAGAGGGTATTATGCTAAGTAAAATAAGTCAGATAAAGACAAATACCATACGATCTCGCTTTTATGTAGATTCTAAAGAACAAAATAAATGAACAACAACAAAAAAACAGACTCATAGATACAAAGGACAAACTGATGGTTGCCAGATGGGAGAGGGGTTGTGGGGCTGGGTGAAAAAGGTGAAGGGATTTAGAAGTACAAATTGGTAGTTACAAAATAGTCATGGGGATGTGAAGTACAGCATAAGGAATATAGTCAATAATATTTTAATAAGTATGTATAGTGCCAAATGGGTACTAGACTAATCCGAGGGATCATTTCATAAATTACATTAATGTCTAACCACTATGTTGTACACCTGAATGTCAACTGTAATTGAGAAATAACAAGAGTATATAGTCTCTGAGAAAGGCTTGATTGGACCAATAGTCCTGTTTTTCTCCCTTGCTAGGTTGTATTCTCTCAGAATTTACCTAGACCTCAGCTGAGTCATAAGGAGATATTTGAAAAAATATGTAAAATACCAAAAAGTAAATTTGTGTATTTTAACTGAGGTATTTCATTTAAAAAAAAAGGTGGGGGGGTGGGCAGTGTTACTAATACACCATAGGAAATATATCAGTGTTTAGATAATAAGGAGGAAAGTCAAAAGCTGTTCCAGAGGACCAGGAGCTGGCCTTGCATTCATTGTAAGGTCAACTTATTTCCTGTTTTTCCTGTTAAAGAAAACAGTCACACAACTCCTTCATCAAAGGTAACTGGCGACTATGACGGACTAAGATATTTAAAAGGGTATGTTGTAACCATCTCTCTAAAAATGTTAAAAGATAAAGTTTCAAATCACAAAATTTAGTAATAGTCCCCTCTTCTTACTAATATGACTAATGGGGACTTCTTACAAATTAAATTTAGCTCCATTATGATGTTTCTGCCTTCTAAAAAACAATGTTTATACCAATGACAGTATGAAGTTTACCTCCTCACAGTATTCAATACAGAGAAAAGTCTTGCTTCTTTGAATGGCAATCCAATCACCCTACAGAAGCCAAACTCCTGTAAGAATTACTTTTCAGCACCCTGTTATTGTTATAGTCAGAGTGTATTATGGTCTGTGGTTACTCTTCCTAGAATGCATTACACACCTCTTTTTGCCTATAGGCACAATCTTGGTCACCAACAAGAGGGCACTGATAAAAACCATGATCTGAGTTTTTGGTAGTAAGAATAAATGAAAAGCGAGTTTCAGGACAAAAATTTTAAGTATAAAAGAATAAAAAATAAAGTTAGCTGAAAAAATATGTGAACTTGTATGCACATAATACTGACTCATAATGTATAAAGATTAAATGAAAAAAACTGCAATGTTTATCTGAAAACTCGTAATTATAATGGGACATTTTCATATACCCTCCCAATATGTGAAAAACACAATATTAGCATACAACAGCTTGGAAAAGTTAGTGAAATATTTCTATAAAACAACTAGAGAAGTGTTCCTTTGTTAGAAAAATGCACATACATTTAAATACATGCAACCAAACAACTGAAAACACATTGCAGGATTACATTCAGCTACAAGTAATAAGAAACACCTTCTTTCTTCCTGACGGAAGGAAGGCACTTATTCTTACATGAAATGACTGGGTCAAGGCGGCCAGTATACTATGCAGGAGAGGAAAAAAGAACACCTATGTCATTCTTTTTGATGGCACCACTGCAGATGTCGTGATTAATCAGGAAAACATACTCATTAGCACCACTAACAGCATAAAACTGTTTCTTTTACAAATTAGACCCTCTATGGGTATAATCCAGAGAAGAGGGGAATCAGAGAATACTCTCAAGCAGGAAAGTCTGAGTTAATTTCCTGGTGCACACAAGAAGGCTTACAGAAAAATCCACATTTTGATGGAACTTTAATATGGATTTTGTCAAAGTATCAGTGGAAACCTATACCAATAAGAAAATGGAAATCGAACAGTTGGTGGTAGTTCTGAGAACAGTCTCGATTGGAAAGGCAAAGACTCTGGAAAATTGGAGAAAGACTGTCCTCAAAGTTCCTATACATCTGTCTCTTTCTCAGTATGGTGATCACAAAATCTGACTAACATGTTCTTCATTTCTCCCTTCCAAATCTCATACAAGTGAGGCTACTGGTGAATTCTAAGATGCAACCATAAAGGAGATGGATTCTGGAAAATCTAGTTCCTTCTCTTACCAATAAGGCAGGATATCTCCTAGTCTAGTTTTATTCTATGACAGATCTCTCTTCTTAAAGTCTATCACCAAATACAATTGAAAGGAAGGACAAAAAGCAAAGGCCCAAATACAAAATGAATAATGAATATCAAACTATGTTCTTTCATAAACTTGCCATACATAAAAATTTACTCCAAATGTTTTTTAGTATAAAAATTGGAAAAGGCTCTTATACCTATCACTCCCCCCCAACCCCCGCAAAAAGCTTTTGCTAGAGAGATAGGATATATACAATCAGAGATATCCAGGTACTGTTGCAAGGATAGTAGGACAATTCCAAACATCAAACTTTCATTTTTCATGGCCCCTAACACAGAACAAAGAAAACATTATGAAAGAAAGAAAAAAAAACATCAAAAAGTTAAACCTAATTGCGTATTACAAATATACTTCAACTGACCCATGGATACAATAGGCTTCAAAATGGGGGGGAAAGAGAAAACATTCACAATTTTGAGGAAAAGCATTACCTATTAATCTTACATATTGTTGAAAGATGACTCAGAATAATCTTACCTCAGTATTCATTTCTGAAAATTAGTAGTAGAAATACACATTCCAGTAATGTACTTTCAGAAAGAGGCTTAATAAATACAAGATATTTACAACTTTAATAGCAACTCTTCCATGTTGAAAGTTTTCTGGAACATTACATGTGGTTTAATTACCACCAAGCTTTCTCCTGTTACTTGCATTATATTTGTTTTTGGTGGCAGTTTTTACTTGTTTACATTCAAATCCAATAGTCACTTCGTGCCTTCAGAAAAACCAACTGGGATGATAAAGGTTTCCTCACATCATGAACACTCATATAGTGTCTCCATAGTGCATGTTCTCATGAGTCTTCAAATGGTTGTGTGAAAAATGAAGGCTTTACTACAATGTTACATTCATAGTTCTCTCTGACATGAGTTTTTTTTTTTTTTCATGTATCCAAAGGTAACTGGGACACCTAAATGCTTTACTACATTTTTTACATTCATAGGGTTTCCTCCCAGTATGATTTGTGTTGTGTATTTGGAAACCTAGATGAGAACCGAAAGCTTTACCACATTGCTTGTTATTCAAAGGATCTTTGCTGTGAGGCCTTTCGTGTGTTTGTAAGAAACTTATCTGTAGGCTTAATGCATTGTTTACAATTCACTGGGGTCCTCTCTTGTGTAATTTTTCATGTTTTTTAAGATAACCTAGACACCTGAATGCTACACTACATGCTTTATATTTACAGGGTTTCCCTCCACGTGAGTTCTTTCATGTCTTCGAAGATAACTACGACAAATAAATGCTTTAGCACATTGCTTACATTCGTAGGGTTTCTCTCCAGTATGCGTTCGTTTGTGTGCTTGGAAGAATTTGTGATCTGTGTAGGCTTTACCACATTGTTTACATTCATAGGGTTTCTCTCCAGTGTGAGTCCTTTCATGTATTCGAAGAGAAGTGGAACACCTGAATGCTTTCCTACATTTTTTACATTCATAGGGTTTCTCTCCAGTGTGAGTTCTTTCATGTGTTTGTAAGGAACTCTGAACTCTGAAGGCTTTTCCACACTCCTTACATTCATAAGGCTTCTCTTGAATGTGAGTTATTTCATGTTTTCGAAGATCACTGGGATACCTGAAGGCTTTATTACATTTTTTACATTTATAGGGTTTCTCTCCAGTGTGAGTCCTTTTATGTTTTCGAAAACTAGAAGAGTATCTGAATGCTTTTCCACATTCCTTACATTCATAGGGTTGATCTCGAGAATGAATTCTTTCATGTGTTTGTAAAGAACTATGATGTCTGTAGGCTTTTCCACATTGTTTACATTCATAGGGTTTTTCTCCAGTGTGAATGTTTTCGTGTCTTTGAAGATCACTGGGTGAAATAAATGATTTACTACATTTTTGACATTTGTGAGGTTTCTCTCCAGAGTGATTTCTTTCATGTCTTCGAAGATGACTGGCTGAACTGAAGGCTTTACCACACTGTTTACATTCGAAAGGTTTTTCTACACTGTGATTTCTTTCATGTATTTGGAAACAGAGATGAGACTTGAAGGCTTTACCACATTGTTTACACTCGTATAGTTTCACTCCTGTGTGAATCCTTTTATGTGACTGAAGATCTTGATGACGTGTGAAGGCTTTTCCACATTCTTTACACACATAGGATTTCTCTCCTTTATGAGTCCTTTCATGTGCTTTCAAACTTAGATAATATCTGAAGGCTTTTGCACATTGTTTACACTGATAGTTTTTCTCTCCGGTGTGGATGGTTTCATGTATTTGAAGAGAATTCAAAGAACTCAAGGTTTTTCCAAATTGTTTACATACCGAGGGTTTCTCCCCAGTATGACTTCTTTCATGTGTTTGGAGGGAAATGTAAACTCTGAAGGCTTTACCACATTCTTTACATTCATAGAGTTTCTCTCCACTGTGAGTCCTTTCATGTCTTTGAAATGAGCTGGAAAAAATAAATGCTTTCTCACATTTCTTACATTTATAAGGTCCTTCTCCTGTGTGAGTGATCATGTGTACTCGAAGGCTTGAGAGAGCACTAAAGGCCTTCCCACATTCCTTACATTTATAGGTCTTTTCCCCAGTATGGCTTCTTTCGTGTCTTTGAAGAGAATGGAGAGAATTGAAGTCTTTATTACATTTTTTACATCCATAGGGTTTCTCTCCTGTGTGAGACCTTTCATGTGTTTTTAAAGTTTTATGATATCTAAAGACTTTACCACATTGTTTACATTTATAGGATTTCACTCCTGTGTGAGTCCTTTCATGTGACTGAAGACCTTGATAAGATGTGTAGGCTTTTCCACATTCTTTACATTCATAGGGCTTCTCTCCTTTGTGAGTCCTTTCATGTGTTTTAGGGGTTTCATGATATCTATAAGCTTTTTCACATCGTTTACAATAATAGGGTTCCTGTCCAGGGTGGGATCTTTCATGAATTTGAAGCGAAGTTGAAAAACTAAAGGCTCTCCCACATCCCTTACATTTATAGGGCTTGTCCTCACATATCAGATACTCACGCGGCTTGTGTCCGCTGTGACATTTTATATGCCTATTATGAGATGACTGCTGCATGAAGCCTTTACCACACACATGATTTTCCCATGGTTTTATTTCAGAAAGAGTTTTCTTGTTCAGATTGAGATTTGAAATAACACTGAAGTTTTCTCCACATTGACTACTCTCTTTCGTTGCATAGATTTTGTCTATCATATGACTTCTGTAAAAACCAAGATGCACATTAATGACTTATTAGTAAAAGGTTTAAACTATATTTTTATGACTTATACCAAAAGTATAGGTTTTCTGCCTTGTCTACATTGTTTGAAATTGGACATACTGAATGTTCTATAAAGAACTTTGCCTTGTTATTGAAACAATATTCATATATAGGCTTTATTTCTATTGTTTGCGAGAGAACTATTTTGCAAACACTAAACATCTATATCATATATAAAAAAGTAATTTGGTAAAAGTGTTCTGAGAATAAATTTGGAGAAGGGGTTGTTTTGGTTGCTTCTTTTTAAAACTTTGTAGCATACCAGGATGCCCACGTAAGACAATGTTTTTTATTATGCGTGTGACTCACCTTAGTGTTCTCCCATGGTTTTTGTGCTGATCTTTGGTGTCATGTTTTTCCCATTTCTTCCCTAAAATGCAGACCAACAAAAATGAATCGAAAGTATTTGAAATTATAGAAAAATTATTAGATTCTAGGTCCATGAATGACTGTCACAATGCTCAGTTTACTGACCAATGGCCTCCCTTCCCACATTATACATCTTCGAACAATGCTAATGGGCAGAAAACACTTATCCTCTAATTGACGAGGTGAAAGTAAGCTGTCATCCTTACCCACTGAGGCCAGGCTCCTGATGGTTTCCCGCATCACATCTCTATAGAGTTTCTTCTGTGAAGGATTCAGTAAGACCCACTCCTCCAGGGTGAAGGTCACAACCACATCCTCAAAGGCCACTGAGTCCTAAATCATCCAACATGTGTATATTGTAAGATGTTGTGAGACTGACAGCAGTGGACATCTATATTCTATTTATAGGAAGGTTACATATGACTCTGTCATCTCCAAACATTTATTCTATGACCTGGTCATCAGAAACATTCTCTCTTCATACTTTCTCATAAATTTAACAGCGTCATATACATATGGAAATTATTTTCACACTTTCACAGTGATCACATTACATCTTTTTTCTCTAATGGTAAGGTAAAGAGCATGCTGGGAAAGGATGGAAATGCTATACAAATAAAATGAATATAACTTTAAAAACATCAATTCCTTGTTAGAAAAAATCTTTCATGTCCTTCCATATTACCCACCATTTATAGCACTCCATGACGCAGAGGGTCACATCTGCATGACGTTTCAGTGAATAAAAACATAGTGGGAAACTGGAAGATTTTTCTTCTATTCTCATCACTAAAAATGAAAGTCCAGGTGGTCATACTGTCCTAAAGTCCTCCAGGCCATTACAAATACAGGCGTACCTCATTTTATTTTGCTTCGCTTTTGTGTACTTTGCAAAAACTGTATTTTTATCAACATTGGAACCAGACCCTCCACTAGCAAAGAGTATGACTCACCAAAAACTAAAACAATGGTAGCATTTTATAGCAATAAAGCATTATTTTTTTTAATTTTTCAATTACAGTTAACATTCAATATATTACTTCCAGGTGTACAGCATAGTGGTTGGACATTATATAATATCAAGTAATCCACCTGATAAATCTAGTGTTCTCCTGACACCACACATAGTTATTACAATATTATTGACTATATTCCCTATCCTGTATTTTACATCCCCACAATAAAGCTTTTTTAGTTAAGTACATACATAGAAGCACAAAAGACCCTGAATTGCCAAAGCCATCCTGAGAAAAAAGAACAAGGCTAGAGGCATCACTCTGCCTGACTTCAAATTATACTACAAAGCGACAATAATCAAAACGGCATGGTACTGGCAGCAAAACAGATAAATGGACCAGTGGAACAAAATTGAGAGTCCAAAAGTAAACCTATATTTAAATGGACAAATAATTTTCGACAAAAAAAGCCAAAAACATACAGTGGAGAAAGGAAAGCCTCTTTAATAAATGATGCTGGGAAAACTGGAAAGCCACCTGCAAAAGAATGAAACTAGACTTGTCTATCACCACACACCAAAATTAACTCAAAATGGATTAAGGACCTAAATATGAGACCTGAAACAATAAAATGCATAGAAGAAAACATAGGAACAAAACTCAAGGACCTTGGACTTAAAAAGGATTTTATGAATTTGACCTTAAAAGCAAGGAATGTAAAAACAAATAAGTAAATGAGACTACATCAAACTAAACAGCTCCTGCTCAGCAAAAGAAATTGTCATCGTGGTAAAGAGAGAACCATGCAAATGGAAAAATATATTTGCAAGCAATGCCTCTGATGAGGGTCTAATATTCAAAATATACAAAGAACTCATACAACTCAATAACAACAACAACAACAAAAAACAAACGATCCAGTTAAAAAATGGGCAGAGGACCTGAACAGACACTTCCTTCTAGAAGACAATCAAATGGCCAACGAATATTTTAAAAGGTGCTCAACATCGCTAGCTATTAGGGAAATGCAAAGC